AATTTTTGCAGCTGAATTTTTAAAAGGTGAATTTTTTGCAGCTGAATTTTTTGCAGCTGAATTTTTTGCAGCTGAATTTTTGCAGCTGAATTTTTGCAGGTGAATTTTTTGCAGCTGAATTTTTTGCAGCTGAATTTTTGCAGCTGAATTTTTTGCAGCTGATTTTTTTTCTGGTGAATGTTTACCAGATAAAAACTAAGTGTAAGGAATTTAATGTCTAAAAAAATTCAGTGCTTAAAATTCGTAGTAAAAAAAATTCAGTGTTTAAAATTCGGTGTTTATAAAAAAGGCAGATTCCAATGAGACTGTTTTTCTTCCATATTTTTACCGATCACTAATAATCCGATAAAAAATCTGTTTCCTTTGCTTAGAGATAAAATGGTCGCCATGTTTGTGATTAATGAAGTTAGTCCAATCTGGCACTGGTTAAGACTGAAGGTTAGACCTAGAGGAGTACTTAGAGATGTAATTATTTTCTCTCTGCATAGATTAAATTGAAGTGTTTCTTCCAACCAGGAATTAATGTATTTATCATTTATTAATATAGTTTAAAGCTTTTGTCTTGTACCGCTCGCTTTCAAACTCTCCAAATCATGAGAGTGACTGGTGTTGCTAGGTCTTTTACTGTCTCTGAAAACTCCCATGCTTTAAACAAAATGAAAATAAATAAATTTTCAGTGTATTCACTTTTTGTCCACCTCAACGGGCTATATTCAATATTTTTATTTTAGGTGTGTACATAGAGTATTCATATAAGAGTCAAGAAACTTATGTCCAACGACAGGCTAACTTATGCATAACGCACGGCAGCATAATGCCCATGAAATGATGCACAAGCAGAGATTCACCCGGAGGCATCCGCTCTGCATAAGAAGATTTCTTTGATTTCAGTATTAACCTAGCTGCTGTTTACTGCCAGCCCCCCTCCAAAAAAGAATAAAGAAAAAGAAAAAGAAAGAAGGTTTGCCGTCACGGAAGATTCAGCGTCATATCTGCTGGGAAGTTTGTGGCCCTTGGTTCCTCTTAAAGGGTCTCCCTCTGGGTTTCCTCCTGCAGGAAAATACCAGACCTAGGAAGAGATCATTCAGGAGATCATCCGATGCTCCATCAGAAGCACGTCCAGGTATTGTAGGGAGATCATGCAGGCTTTGGGTCGCAAATAATACAAAGTCTCATTTTGACCTGTTTAAAGGACATTACATTAAATTTGGATTAGTCTAAAGTGATTTTTTCCACCTTAATTTAGTGTGAGGCTCCAAATCCCGGCTTCCATTGGTCAATAAATTTGATTTCCATTGAGGATTTTTGTGTGAGAATGTGTAATTCAGTGTTCCCTTTATTTTTTGAGCAGTGTACAATTGTCTGGTGCTAACAAAGATTAAAGTCTCTGGTATGAATGGCGTGCATCTTTTTTGGAGGAAACCAGGGAACTGTTCATCATCATCCCCTCATGCTTTGGTGGTGTTTTTCAGCAGCAGGGACAGACAGACTAGTCATGGTAAATCTTGACCTCCGACTAGGTGAATTGTTCATTTTTGTGTGGAAAAATGACCCAGCAATTAATAATGGTCTATAAAAAAAACTGGTTCCTTTTAACTGCAATGACGGAGAGAAGAAGGTAAAAAAAGATCTGTGTGTGTGTGTGAGGGGGTTGGGGTATTCTGTGGTCACTACAACCACTGTCTGTAACGTTCAGAGAGTTTCTAGCATGCCCAGCCATGTCTATATAACTCTACCTTGGTTGGGTTACAGATATTTCATCTCTACTCATGCAGTAGATACAGCTGACAGTTAGCCATGGAGAACTGGTCCCTCTTCCTCCTCTGCTTCTCGCTGGGTTGTTCTGGTGAGGCTTAAACACACTGTTTTTAATATAATTAACATTATTTGTTAAAATAACTACAGGACATTTTAGCATTAGGTTTTCATTAATCATCCTGCGTAACTGTTTTAGTCTGGATGATCCAGGGAAGTCGTCTGGACGACAGGATCGATGAAGAGGATCTGGGAGAACCCTGTGCAGAGGAACAAGGGGTGAGGATAAAACATTTTTTATTTCAAAATTTCTGGTATTTATATCAAAGCAAAGCCAGAAACATAATGAAAAATAGCGAAATGAGAATAGAGACCAAAGCTTATATTAGGGCTATTTCAATCTTTACTTTTATCTTTTGCTTCTGTCTTAATTCATAAACAATTTTTGAAAGGCGGACATTATTATTTTTGAGTACTTTACATCGAGTATTAATAAATAATAATGGAATAAATTTAACGATGAACTTATAAATGCACTTACTGTTAGGATTGTCCAATTAATCGTTTTAGCTGTCGGCTCTCTGCTGGGCATGCAAGCTGGTAATGAAGAAGCTGAAAAGGATCCTCGGACCAAATGCAACTGAAGAGGTATAAAGTATCAGGTGTCTGCAAACAGCACCACAAATGTGAAGAGAAATCTCCCATGACTTTGTTTTGTTTGTGCAGAGAATCACGACAAAGCTGAAAGTTATCTGCAATGAGCTGGGACTGCTAAAATCAAGGTGCCACAGATTTGTTGAAAAACATCTTAGAGTCCTGGTTAAAGAACTGACAACCAAGGACGACGTAAAGACAGTTTGCATCAAAATACGAGCATGTCGGTAGGTCATCATTGATAAGCTTTAACCTATGGGGGGGAGTTGTTGGAGTTCATTTTTTTAATCAATTTCCCAATTTTCTGTATTTGTATGTTTCTTTTTATTGATTTGTTTTTGTTTGTTTTTTTAGGTCAATCTAAAAACAATCTCAGCATATCAAGATCAGTGATCTCACTTGAAATCCCATGGAAAGATGAAAGCCAGTAGCATAACTGCAGCTTTTATTTGAGGGTCTAACTCTGTTAGCAACGGCACACAAATTAAAAGCATATATGAAAAGCTTTTTAGCTTCCTTTTTTTCAAGCGGCTTCAGGCTTCATTTCATTTCTTTATTGTTCTTCAATAAATAAACATGGCAGACCAATCACTTTGGCTTGACATCATTGTGAGATATTTTTATAAAATCCCCGATTTTCAAGTTCCGGTTGTGTTATGGTTCTTTGAGTTTTGACCTTTCAGTTATCTATGTTATTCTGTTTTGTTGATCTTTAGTTTATTTTTCATTTTGTGTTATAGTTAAGCAGTCTTTATTTACTCTATGTCGCCCCCTTGTGCCCATCTTCTTTCCCCTTGCTTCCTTCTAGTCACTTCTATCCACACCTGCTCCATATTAGCTGATTTCTCCAGTCTTTGTTCTGTCTCCCATATATACTCTCCCTCTGCAGTTCTTTAGTGCTGGTTTCTTGGCTCCCATGTGTGTTTTCTTCTGACCTCTCCTGGCTTTTTTGGTTTAATTCTTAGATTATGTTT